CCCCACTGCCCCCTCCATCTGTTCCTCAGTACAGCTGACCCCGTTCTCTCCCCCAACCTGTCCGGGGAAGCCTTTCTCCCCTGCTCTCCTCCCCTCCCCCCCCACTGCTCCTTTCCTTCAGCCCTGGGGGAGAGGGGGCAGGTCAAAGGAGGGGGTGGGCAGCTAAGGGGAGAAGATGGCTTGAGACCAGGAAGGGGATGTCTTCAGAGGGGGACGGCGAAGGGGGGAGGGAAAACGGGCAGAGAGGGAGGGATGAGACATGGCGAGAAGAGGGACGCAGGCAGGACCCCTTTAGCTGCCATCTCCCCCTCTCCTGTATCCTACCTGCCCGGGTCCAGGGCTGAGGAATCCTTGGCACGTTTTGGGGGGTCTTCGCCCCTCAAACCCACCTCACCAGTTTGGCACAGATGAGAGATGGTCTGAGGACTGAGGGAAGAAGGGCTGCCCTCAGACCGCGGTGAGGGCTTTGGTCAAACATGCACGGCCTCTGCGGGTGGCAGGTGCCACGCAGCCCCCCACCCCCCGAACTCTAGGGGAAGGAAGGGCAGAGCTTAGGGTCTGTTCATCTCCTCAGGGTTTCTCCCTCCCCCTCAGCTTCTGTCAGTTTGAAGTCCTTTCACTTGTCCTTCTCACAAGTCTCCCTTGTGAGAAGTTAAGTGCTGGGCCTGAGGCCCTAAGATGCAGGGAAGTGCTGGAGAGAAAGGGGCCGTCTGCATGGGAAAACGTACATCCACATGCAAGAACATGTTTCCACTCAGAAATGCATCCTGGACCCAGGGGACGCAGGATCTCCTCCCTTCCCCGCGGCAGGGAATGTGTGTCTGTCATCTGTGGAAGGCGAGGCCTGCCCGGGGGAGACCATGCTTCACCTCACTTGTGCCACGGGGGATACACATGCTTCGCTGGGGCAGGAGGGCTGGGGGCAGGGCAGGGGGGCTGTGATTTCCTCGCTGCTTCCCAGGCACCACCCTGCGTCGTCCGGTGGCCAAGGGTCGCTGTTTGTGAACACACCACTTCCAGGGTCTCCAGGGGGTGGGAGGAGGGAGGAGGTGGGGGCACAAATCCCCACAGAAATTCTTTGAGGGAGCCAACATGCATCCAGGGCGGCAAAAAAACCCTCACACTGCACATGGTTTCTCACCCCCTCGTGAGAAAGCACACCTCCACGTGGGAAAATACTTCCACGTCTCCACACACCGAAGACGGGTGTCCAGACGACGGAGGGGAAAAAACACCCCCCCAGTTGTTCAAAGGCCCAGGTCCGGAGAAGAGAACGGGCCACTCCGCGCGGGAGAAGCGCACACATCCCGGCGAGGAAACCCATGTCCACCTAAAGCACCTCGACGTGTGACAGCTCCACACGACAAAAGCCTGTCGCCAAGTCCTCCTCCCTGCCTTCTGAGCTGGCCGGGAGGGCCGGGGAGGGGGGCCTCCCCGAGCCGCCCCCTATACCCGAGTGGTGGAGTGGGGATGGGGGGAGCGTGTTGTTGTGGCTGGTAGCGGCGGGGGGAGGCGAGGGGAAGGGCCCAAAGGGATGGAGGGAGGGGGGCGGCGTGGGAGAGGGTGGCCCCAGGCCGCTGGGCAGCAGGGTCAGGGCCCCGGGGGCCAAGAGTGGCAAATTGTCCGGTGCCCGGCGCAGGGCCAGGGTGTAGTCGGGCGGGCAGGCGGGGCGCAGGGCCTCCGCAGGTTCCGCCCCGACGCCCCTGCCCCGCTTCAGCTGCAGCGACACCAGCTCCTCCTCGGCTGGCAGCTCACGGCCGGCAGCAGGGAGCAGGGGGCCTCCGTCGGGCACGCCGGAGCCCGAGCCGCCGTGGGGGCTGAGCCGCCTGCACCGCAGCTCCGGCCGCCGGTCCCGCTTGTAGTAGAGGGCGGCGACGGCAAGGATGTTGAGGAAGAGGAGGGAGGCGCCCACGGCCATGGTGACTCTGAGCTCCGTGGAGTAGTCTCGGGAGTCCCCGGGGAAGCGGTCGTAGGCCCGGGGGCCCGGCTCGGGCTTGGGCTTGGGCGGCAGGGTGGCCGGAGGCGGGGGGCGGCGAGTGCCGGGGGCACCAGGGGGCGGGCGCCGCGGCCGGCGGGTGGCGTAGGGAGGGAGGCGCGTGGTGGTGGTGAAGAGCTCCGTGTGCAGGCTGTGCACGTGCGGCACGAGCTCCAGCCAGAAGGCCACCTTGTTAGCGCGGTAGTTGGCGCGCACGTGCGGCTTCAAGCCGATGTGCAGGTACTGCTTCTCCTTGCTGTTGAACTTGCTCCACACCACATCCTCGAAGCGGTTGGGCTTGGTGTGCATAAACTTGGTGTCCTGTGGCACCGGCTGGTTGGGGTCGCTGTGGACACAGGGGGTTAGGGAAAGGAGGAGTAAGGGTGAGGCTCCCATGAAAGGCAGGGGTGGGGGCGTGCTATGGGAGGAATGGGTAGAGAGATGGACAGAGATGCAGAGAGCTGGGGAGACGGGAAGAGAGACAGAGACGGACACGAAGAGACAGAGAAACTGCCAGAGACGGACGGACAGACAAATAGGGATGAAGCCAGACTGCCAGAGACAGTCTGAGATGAGGACAGAGGGGCAGAGAGGGAAGAGACAGACCACCAGTGACAGAGGCAGAGTCTGAGAATGAATGAGATAGAGACATATGGAAACAGAGACACAAAAGGACATGAGAGACAGCCAGGGGGAAACCAGCGAGTACAGAGTAACCAGATCAAAGCAAGCAGAGATATCAATAGATTTCAAGAGAGAGAGGCAGAGACAGCAATAGACAGACACAAACCCTCACACACACTCAGATACACAGATGGGAGCACTCAGAGGGCCGAGCTCTGGGAGGAGAAGGAGAGAGCTGGGTGGGCAAGGGAGGGAAGGAGAGACAGACTCAGAGCCAAAGGCACCAAGTGAGCCCGCCCCCCAGAAAAGACAGGGACCTCCCTGTCCAACTCTTCTGCGTCTCCAACACACACGGAGGAGCTGTCTGGCAGGTGTCTGAGTCGAAAAGGCAAGAGTGCCTTGATGGAGGAATGATGGCCGTGTGAAGGAGAGGGAGAGAAGGGGCTGAGGATGGAGGCGGTGTGTGCCCTGAACTGCAGGGATGCCCGACCCAGCCCCTCCCTCTGGCCCTCACCCGGTCTTGGCGAAGTTGGTCCAGTAGGTCATGACCACGGCGCTGAGCATGACATCATTCTTGGAGAAGTTGCAGGGGAAGAGGTTGGTGGCACCCACCATGGGCACACCAAAGATGTAGGGTAGCTCATCCCCGTGCACTGCATCTGCCCACTCGGGCCGGCCCTCAGCCTGGCAGTGGTGGTAGAAGGTGTAAAAGTAGACAGGGGACTGGTAGTCAGCGTGCAACTTGGCGGTGGCCACAGCCGGTGCCACCCACTGGTGGCCGGTAAAGAGCGCCAGCAGGGTCTTGCGCCACATCTCGCCATTGTCCCTGTCGGCCCAGTCCGTGTA